GCGGCGCCATCCTTCCCGAGCCCCGTCTCTACCCCCCCTCGAGGGTTAGCTGGAAACCCCAGGTTTGACCGGTACATCTGTGTGGCAAGGGCGGCACAACGAGGGAGGGGTCGGTTCAAGATCGCTCGCGTGAGGGCCGACTGCACGGGGTAAAATGGCAGAGCGTACTTGAGGCAGGGGGCCAGTCGTGTGAGGGGGAAGTTTCAAGAGGAACATAAAAAAGGGTGGACGACTATAAACACGGACCAAGGACGCGCACGTAGCAAAAGCGTGAGCTTAGCGCATGCAACCCAAGACCGGGGTGTGTGTGCGGGCGGAGCTGTGTACGTACGGGGGTGAATGGCTACAAACGACCCAAGGAAGCGCGCGTAGCAAACGTGTGAGTTTCTCAGCCTCGGGGCACAGGTATAGGGAAGGCCGCCTTCTCCTGCTGGAACCCGGACACACTGTCTTGGGAGGCAACGTACGGGACAAGCACAACGAACGTCTCGGTTGCGGCGCTGCTGGAGCCCATAGTGATCGTTCCATGCTACGGGACCGCACGTTTTTAGACCCCCAACATGCTCCGTTCGAGACGACACGTGCGGCGATGGGTACTCATTGCTTGACGGGGGCAAGTCGGCTACCGTTATCTATCGCACGCCGAAGAGAAGAGAAACAAAAAACCGATTTGTCACGCCGCAGCCGACGGCGGAACAAAACCAAAGAAGACGGTTCTTCTCTCTTAAACAGAGACCTGCAGCATCTCCAAGTTATCCAAGTCATTCGTGTCGAACTCCAGCTCGTCTTGGCCCGAGAAGTTGAAGAGCTCGTCGATGTCGTCGCCCCCCTCGTTCTGCGCCTCCAAGGAGTTCTTGAAGGCTATCTCCTCCTCGTCGAGGCTGTGGTTTACGGCCGTGTAGTTCACCGCCGTCTTGCAGAGGAGTCTTCGGCAAACGGCCACGCCTCCGACAACCTTTTGCAGGACAGGGAGGGGGTGTAATCATGAAAACGCATGCCGGCCGTAGTCGGTAGACCATAGACCTCGCATGCCGGGACGGAGCGACATGCCGGGTTTTTGCCGGCCCAGGCTACGAGCGGGGGGGGATCTTTGAACTGTTATTCCAGAGCAAGGCGAAGGTAAAGCAGCATGCGTGTCGTGCCGGTGTACTGCTGCAGCTCGTGATCGCGTGTACGCATGCGAAAATTGTACTCCACGTTATCCGGCAACTAGTTTCCCGCCCACATGGAACGGTGGAAAGGCTGTGAATTGACGAAACGGAACTTGAAACATTGGGTGTGTGCGACACATGCCTACCGTTGGCGGCATACCCCTTACTGGTCCGATGTTGAAAACCCGACTTCTCCACAACGGAAGAGGATGCCGCAATCAAACGATGATACATGTGTGTTTTCGGAAAGCTCTCGACGAGGTGGTTCGTTCCAACGCCGACTTTGTTGGCACCGCCGCTGCTTGTGCTGCAGAGGGTACGAGGTTGGAAAATCGATCCAGGGTGGGAGTATCTCATCCCACCTACAATGTATACAATGCATACGAGGAACTCTATGTATACATAATTTAGGGATGGGGATGATCCAGGAGGAGTACCACAAAACGGCCGCAGCAGTGACATCGCCGGATAGAGTAAGAACGGCAAACAATAGGGTGTACGACTTTCTACTGCAGTAGTACTTGTAGCCCTCGCGAGGATGTTAAAGCTCGGTTCCAGTACGGGGTATAGGGGGTAGGGATACGAACCCCCCCTGTCAATTTCACAGGTTAACAATAATAGCCTCGCGAAGGCGTTCCTCTCTTTGTTGCTACTAGGGTCGTGGGGGGGGTGTACGCAAGACTTTCGGTTGACATTGACATGTTGGGACGTTAGGACCCACGCCCCTGCAGTCAAAAGAATGTGCGGAGGATCTCGTAAAAAGGGCTAATTTTCATCATCGGAGAGGTACGCTCGTGTGTCACTATGAAGTAAGTCTCTGCGTCTCCGCGGAAGGGACACAAGAGCCTCGAGAGGGCAAACAAGAGAGAGCAGCCGGGCGGCCGTTGTTGATTTCGTGCCGCACAGGGATCGTTGCGCGCGGCCACCGGGGGTTAAGTCTCTGTGAAAGCCAGCCTTGAACCCTGCTGCTTGCTGTAGCGACTTCACATATTTAGTGAGGGACCTAAACATATTACCGGAAGGTTGCGAGTCAGCGCAAAGCACAGGGGTGCGATCGATTTCAAAGCGTCATTTCTCCACAACCAGGAGGTTACCACTGTCGATGACGGTGTTTTTGGAAATATCTCATCGAGAGCTCACCCTCGTTTGTGGAGAAATTACGCTTTGAAAATCGTTCGCACCCCCTGTGCTTTGCGCTGACTCGCACCTTACGGTACAGCAGTATCAGCAGATCAGCAGCGACCGCCGTGTCCATGAAAGTGACTACAGGCCTACCGTCTTATTGTAACTATTTCACCTCTCCCTCTTGACGACCTCTGCTGGTTGCTTCGATCGGAGATTGCGGTGGAGACTTCTTTAAAGGCTTCTATTGCCAAGATATTGTTGTTTCAGCACGGTGCACTGGGATGCAATAGATCGGACCGTGGGCGAGCACCTGCTGTAGGAATTCGGGCGCAACTTTGAATCCATCCAACCTTGGTATGCACGGACAAAAAGTGACTCTCATGCCATCCGTGTACTCTGGGTGTATTCGAAGTTTGGAATCGCTCGTGTAGCGTTTTGCTTTAGCTCCAAGCACGTCGGTGTTGTTGTCGTTCACACAGCAGCTTGGGTTGTTCTTCCTTTAGCGACCCCAAATCTCCGCCTCATCATTTGTAGCGAGAAAAAAGAGAAAACAGACTCATCGTGCAATCGACTCACCACCAAGACAGTCACCATGGTCAGAAAGGCCACACCGATAGGGCCTTGCATTGCCTCCATCACGCCCGCCATAGCGCACACACGAGCGCACTGCTCCACCTTCGCTGTGCTGCTACTGGCTATGATAAGCTGTCGGTCGTCGCCCGCCGCTGTGTTTCACTACCGTGGGGTTGCGTGGAATGGAGGGGAAGTTTGGGGGCGGGGGGGGGGGTGCACGTCGACCCGCTCCGGCAGTTCACAACTGCCGACGCCGTAACACAGCAAATTGATTACCTGCCGAACATTGGCCCAAGATAGTCTGGACACCTTCCAGGCAGCGAGGTAGAGGGGGTAGGAAGGTAGACGTCTAAGCCTAGGTGAGCTTTTGCAGAACTTGAGATAGAAGCTCTACATCGCCAAGACGCAGTAGTAACACACACGTTTGTTTTCGTTCCGGTGCGGTGTCCGATAACGAACCACCGCGCCAAGGGCCTGCTGAAGCAGGTTGCCCGAGCACACTCGGGGTGCCGGGCGGCAACAAGCAGCCCAGCGTGATGATGCCTCCGCAGGTGAAGGGCTCAGCAGGGATCCCTCACCACACACGGGAGCTGCAGCAGCGGCAGCAGCAGCAGCAGCAGCAGCAGCAGCAGGACCTGACGTCCGTGGTGATGGAGGAGGTCGAGGAGCAGCAGTGGGAGTGCCGCTGCACGCTGCTCAACGGAAATAGCTTCTCCCGATGCATCGCCTGCGGCAGCCCCAAGCCTCGACAGCTACACTTGCAGCAGCAGCAGCAGCAGCAGCAGCAGCATGGTAGCGGGCGAGCCTCTCCTTCTCTCGTCCCGGATGGGAGCACTCCACCGGCGAACACAATAGCGGCCGCAATCGCGGAAGCCGGCGGAGGATCTACGTCGTCGTCCGCGACGACTCCCCCAGCAGCAGCTGCTACTACGACGGCGAAGCGGGGCAGGCAACGCCATGGCAGCAGCTCCACCGGGCAGCACAAGCGTGCGAAGACTCTGCCGGGCGGCGGCGCAGCTGCTCCGCCTAGCTTGGCGGCGGAAGCCAACGCTGGCAGCCGCAGCAGGGCTCCGTCGACCTCGGCAGGTAGCGAACGGAAACGAGCGGGTAGCGGACCGTCGCTGTCGTCGTCGTCCAAGGGCCACGGCAACAGCAGGGACGCGAAACCCTCCGCCGCGCCTACTGCCGCTGCCGCTGCCGCCTCGGGCGAAGAGGGAGACGGTGGCGGCGAAGGGACACCGGCGCTGGCGGCGAAGAAGAAACACACGATGGAGATCTACAGGGTGAAGTGGAAGTCGGTCGGCGCGGCGCTCGCCAGGTCGGCCTTTTCCCAGCTCGAGCTGCTCAGCTGGCAAGACGTGAACGTTGACTGGTGCCCGGGAGATCGCCTGGCCGAGGCCGAGCGACGAAACTCGGCCCTCCTACACGCCGGAGCTGGGGCCAAGGCGAGGGATGGCGGGAGCGGGGGTCAACGGGGTGGTGCCGCGGCGGCGGCGGCGGCGGCGGCGGCGGCGGGAGGCGCGGAGGCAGATGGTGAGCAGGAGGAGCTGTGCATGAGCGCGCTGTTCCCTCTGCCCCAGCCGAAGCCGGCCCGGTTCGTCAAGAAGGGAGTTTTTGCGGCAGAGCCGGGGACGGCAACGGCCGCCGCGCGGTCTAGCTCTACTGTGGTGGCGCCTTCCCCCCCGCGGCCCCACAGCACGATTACGGAAGGGGAAGTCCTTGCCGGCAAGCTCGCCGCGGACGACGACGGAAAGCCACCAAATACTGCGGGCGGTGCGGGCGGTGCGGGCGGTGCGGGCGCGGCGCGCGCGATCTCGGCAAGCGACGGTGGCGGGAGCACCAGCAGCGACCCGCCGCCGCAGGCGGCGGAGAGTGAGGCCGGCGCAAACGCGGGGGCTGGCGGAGACAACACGGACAGCAACAACAGCGACAAGTCGGCGACGACGGCGTCGGAGTCCTCCAGCACGACGCAGTACGCCATGACCGCCGCGGCCAGGACCAAGGCCTACAAGGGCATCTTCCGCACGGGGGGCGGGGACAAGCCCAAGAAGCGGCCCCGTAGCCCCGTCGCGAGCACCCCGCTGCAACTGCCGTTCCCGCGGCCCCCCGCCGGGGTGAGCCTGGCGACCGCGGACCTGGAGGAGCGGCCGCCTTGCGGCTCCGAGGAGTACGTGCAGACGGAGGCTGGGTCGGAGTGGGCGTGGGGGTTGTTGGGCGACGAGCAGGACGGCGGCGGCGGCGGCGGCGATGTTGCTAGTGGTAGTGGCGGCGTTGGCGGCGCGGCGGCGGGCGCTAATGGCGAGAGCGGGGGTCCTGGACACCGAGACTTTCGTTTGCCGTACGACGTGATCTACGACTGCCACTACCAGAGGTTCCTCGGAGAGATGAGGCAGCTGGGGATGCGCAGCGCCGACGATGCCATGACGGAGTTCCAGGGCATCACGTCCAACGTGTACTTGAGCAAGAAGGTGCGTGATTTGCTTGGCGTGCGTGCGGGGGGGCTCGGCGAGACAGAGCCCGCACGCGCTTTAAGTCTTGGCGCAGGTCGTTTACGTATGAATGTATTTTGATTTTCCTTCCTCGTCGTGACATGATGGCGAAAACAAACGGCTGTAGTTGTAGGAAGTCCGAGGGTCAAAACGGCGGGTGTGGTAACCTTGTGTCCGATTTGTCGGTTTCATGGACCTTCTAGTGGCAACTTGTCCTCCGCGCTCCTGTAACATTCCGTGTAATCACTACAATACAATGGTTCCACCGCTGGTTTTAAGGTCCACCTCCAACAAAGGCGAGACGAACCACACACGTTCACCTCTCTACCATCAAAGTAGGAAAGAACGATTGGCCGTCGGTGATCGGTTCTGTGGAAACAAAGCTCCTTCCTCTCTCGAGGACGCGTTATCATTTTGTCTATCAACTACGGCACGCAAAATGTGAGTATTCCCTCCCCCCGCCCGCCCCGCCCCGTAACCTTGCTTGCCCCGAAGCCGCCGGCAAAGGACGTCGGGGAGGGGCACCGTTGCGGGTGCGTCCCGCCATCCGACGGCTCGGCAGGGTGCACGGAGGCGTGCTCGAACAGGGCCACCTTTGAGGAGTGCACCAAGCGCACGTGCGGTCTGGGGGGCAAGGGCGTGTGCGGGAACCGGGTACGCTCTCGCACTGACCGTTGTTTTTGTGTGTGTGTGTGTTTGTTTCTTGGTCTACCTTTTCGTTTTTCTCTTTCAAATAAGCGTTCAGAAAGCTTGCTATTGTGTATCGTGTGTGACGATTCAAGGCTTGTTCCAGGTAAATATTTTAGGGCTGCTCTGCAGCGCTACGCTTAAGTACGTGTCATTTGCTCTTTTGTTGGTGGTGGTGATGGGCTGTGGCGTGCGGTGTGTGTTCCGGTGTGACACACTCCTTGGTTGAGTCACTTCCTTTTTCGTGTTATTTTTTGTTTGTGTTTCAAGAACCGCCTACGCAGATTTGTGCCTGGTGCCAAATTATGATCCCTACAAGCAACACGTACGGCCAGAGAGTGTGTTGGGTGAGGCAAACACGACTCCGGTATGCTTCTCACCCTCCCTTCGTATTTCCAATCCTGATGCTGACGTCTTGCATGTCGTCGTTGCCGAGCAGAAGATTCAGAGGTACAAGCAGGAATACATGAGGAGGAAGGTGTGCATCAAGGACGTAGGCCCCAAAGGCATCGGGCTGGTGGCAAAGGTACGTAGGGGACGGCGTACAGACCCGGGTATCAACGTGATCCGGCCAATATACGCAAGGGCCCATCTTACCGTGCACGTGGGTTGGTAGTGAAAGTTGCGACGTTTGGTTCGCTTGTTGGGATCTCACAAACGAGCCTTGATGGTCTTACGGCATCGCAACCACGGCAGGCGACAGAAAATGGTCTTGAGAGAGATCGGAGAGTGATAGGGCACACAAACGGTCTTAGCGGAGATAGGCGAGAGAGGACTCGGAAAAACGACACACGACCGAGCCTGATGGCTTCGCGTTCAGGACTCCCCGCTATTGCCAGAACATGAAGCTGTTTGTAGACATCGGGGCAAAAATAGATGCATTTACGTCTCTCCCCGCTGTTTTGTCTGTCTGCCCGGTTTCTTTTGCTTCGCCACCGTATGTGTTTCTTACCGCCTGTGAATCCAGACGCGCATTCCGGCAGGGGCTCTGATCGGCGAATACGTCGGGGAGGTGCTGTCGGAGGATGATTGGCAGGCGCGCCAGGTACGCTTGGTCCTTAACTTAAGCCACCGGCTTCCGTTTGCCGAGATATCGTTCGCGTCTCTCTTGTTTTTTTCCCGTTCTTTTCCATTGAAGGCAGTGCTGTTCTGTTCGTACCAGTTGTCGCACGTAGTCGATCAAGTGAAGCATTGTGCGTGTGTTCTGGTTTTACATGTTGGTTTTTGGGGGAAACGCATCGTCATCAGGTAGGCAACGCCCCTTGTACGTTTTGTGTGTATGCATATGATTTCGTCCCGACGTCAATTCTTACACCTTTGGCCTCAGTCGGGCGCACGGGACCACATACAGGATGCAGATGAGACACTCCCCCGCGCGCTCTCTTCTTTTTTTTTTGGTCGAGATACGCGCCCTTCGCGCACGTCTGTTAATTCTCGCACTAGCACGTGGGCCAAGCCTGGGATTTACAGAAACAAGAACAAACATCTCTTGCGTTGGCACGGCAGGCGCTCCTCCATGCCAACGAGAAGCACAAGTTCGTCATGGACCTGGGCGAGAGCGAGGTGATCGACGCTAGCCAGAAGGGCAGCATCCTGAGGTTCGTTAACCATAGCTGTGGCCCCAACGCGGAGACCCAGAAGTGGATGATTCAGGGCAAGAGGCGCATCGGCCTGTTCGCCACCGAGGTCATCGAGAAGGGGGTGGAGGTGAGATGTTGAGAAAACGTTAACTAGTCGGAGTTGGTCTAAATGGTTTTGGGGCAACTTCCCGAGGACACTCGGGGGACATAGTATAGACCCATATTGCGTCTATGGCAAGTTACTTTGTGTGATTGGTTGTAGTCATACCAGGTTGAATCCGCTTTGGGTACTTTCCCTACAGAAGAGATTGTTGCCTGCAGACTACTTTGTGCCGCATTTTGTCGTAGACGAGAACGGTTTGCATGTACGTGTTGCCGCCTGGGGGCGTGCGTGCATGTGCGTCAGAATCTCGCGCTCTCGCAGCAGTGCATGCTCCTCCCCCTCATTGCTTGTGGATTGATTGCTACAAGACACAACGCAACACCCCTTCCGAGGGCATCTCACTCTTCAGGGCCGCCACCGTCCGCTCCCCCCCCCCCCGGCCCCAACAGGTAACGTTCAACTACTGCTACGTTAGGTACGACGAGGAAACCAGAAACTGCCTCTGCGAACACCCCAACTGCGTGAAAACGCTCGGAACGAAACACGGTGAGGGCGAAGAAGTTGGGGGAAGCGGTGCGAATGGGGGTGGGGGGGGAAGTGGGGGCCGCCGCCGCCGGGGCCGCCCGGGGGGGGGGGGGCCAAGTCCGAACCCGAAAAGGGCCCCCAAGGTGGAGGAACCCCCAAACGGGGAGAATGTGCGGACCTGGGTCCCCACCGAAAAAGCCAAAGGGGGGTGGGACCGGTTTTGGGGGCCGGGGGGGAAGGGCCGGGGATTTCCG